TGTTGACTGTCCATGGGCAAGGAAGAATATAATTGCATTTAGGACATGCTGCAAATGCCATCTGTTTTGATATCCTAGATCTGTGCAGCTGGGAGTTTCAGCAAACTCTGCCCACCTGGGCAGAGTGTCCCAAGTAGAATGCAGAGAAGAGCCAAAACTCCAGGACATTGGGTCAAACCACTTCAGAAGGAAGCAAGGAATGGGTTTAAAAGAAATGGATTTTCGGATAAGGGTAATAAATAAACCTCATTGAAGTTCTCTGTTGAAGGGTGGCAAACTCCTAGGTAAGATAGATGTATTAAACTTGCTGCTTTCAAAATCTTTTGTTCTAAAGGATTAAACTGTGCTATGGTGTTAAGAAGGCTGCCCCATAAAAGCTTCCAGAGAAGTGACTATTCAGCCTAAAAGGAGTTTCTGGGATGAAGCTGGCAATCCAGTATCTAGTCTAAGGCCAAGAAGATTGGAGCTTTGCTCTCACAGAGGGGTGAGGGACTAGAATATCAGGCAGAAGAGCAATTTGTCCGATAAATGCCATTCAAGATAGGGACAGGGGTCAGGGGCTGAAAACTGCATCTTTCATTGACGTGAAGAGTCTTTCATGAAATTGGAAGTTCATGGCATATACAGATGTATGGTTTGAGACAAAAAAATGCTTCATTTTGTTGCTTTCAATCAGCATATTTCACTTTTCCTGTTTCCAGGTGAAAACATTCTGCATTGTTGAACTGCCCAAACCATCTCAGTTAACATCCATGTACATCTCCAAGTGATAAAGAGCGTGCTGTAGCTTGGGTGTTGCAGGACAATGTTCACCACTATGGCTATGGGTGCCTGACCAAGTTTCCTTATGGTCCCTTGTGCTTGGCTCTGTGGTTCATTGGCTCCCATGGGACACCACATGACATAGTTGGAGGGGGAAATTTCACATTGCAGAAAATGTTGTCTGGCTAAGGTAGATCTGTAAAATGGAGGGAAAAGAGTATGGGCCACCTGAATTAAAAACTTTCATAATGGTTAGTGCTGCTGCTCAGAAAGCAGAATAAAGCTGGGATGACTCAAAAAAAAAGTCCCTTTGGTAACTTCAATAGACCAGAATCCATTGAAAATGACTACTCTTTTTTAGCTTTAGTGACAGAGAACTGAAGTGTTTCATGATATAAAAATCCTTTGAAACCTTATTTAGACAGAATCAAAATAACCAGCCCTATTTGAAGGCAAGTTGCCTTGGATTATATGGCAGACAATATAGTAGACTCATATGTAATCCACCAGACCCCAGCACATCCCAGGAAAGTCATTAAGTCTGAATTCTATTTCCATGGAATTCAATAGCAAAACTCCCACCGATTTTGCTAGCAGAAGGTCACCTATTAGATGCAGTGTAAAAAGAGTAAGTTACTCCTGTAACAGTGGACAAAACCTGTTTTAATCACAAAAAATCAGGACCTCACCAGCACAAGAAAAGATTTTCTGTGAAACTTCCACCGATGAATGAAAAAAGTAATAATGTAATTAAGCTGATTACAATTGTTCAAAGTGCATTCCCTGGCTAACATGTAAAAGCAGATGAAATGAGCAGGTTCCTCTTCTCTGAAGCATTCATTATAGTTTAGGGATTTTTTACAGTATTCCAGGCAAAAGAATTTTTATCTTCTCTGTATTTGATTTCTCAGGCTCCTATGAAGCCTAAAGATAAGTTTTTGTAGAAGATAGTGTTCTGTGAAAAACGGTGGAACAGTGTTTTCCTTTTTCTGAGTAAATAGTCAGCCTAAAGCTATCATTAACAACTTGATGGAAAAAATAAGATATGATTTAAGTGATATCCTAAATAATAGACTTCTCTGAAACTACATGCTTAAATAAAGTCATACTTAAATGTTTGCATTTATCTGAGTTTTGCCTTCCCAGGTAATGAAATTACAGGGAAAGAACTGATGCTATTTAAGCCTTTTAAAACAATAATAAGAATAATAATTACAATAATAATAATATTTGTTATTAATTCTTAATAACAATAGAAACAATTAAAAGTAATAATAAATAAACATAAATAAAATTAACAAATAAACCCCAATAGAAGCCATAGATTTTAAATGAAAATCAGATTTTTATTTTCTTGTGATGTAATCTGAAAACAAATTCTCATAACATTTTATGCCTGGTTTGGAGAAGTAATATACCTACCTCTTGGCATTTTAACTAAATTGCAGCACACCACTGTCTCATCAAATTTTCTTATTTTTATTGTGTTCACAGAGTACACTAAGCTTCCTACATACTACCATTTTTCTGAAGAGAGTGTAAGCATTAATGCCCTGCCCTGGCCTGAGAAATTTGAGTAATTCAAGTTTCATAAGAGGGCTTTTCCAGCTCCATTGGGTAGTACTCTGGAGATGTGAAGGGCTGACTAGAGCTGATTGAAGTTAGACTGGTGTACATACCTCTTTCTGGTTCTTGCACACAGTGAATTCTATCCAAAATTAATCTCCTTAAGACACAGATATTAGAATAGAAATCAGATTCTTTGATTATAAAATATGTTCATATATTTTGAAAAAAAAATCCTTTCTAAATTAAAGCCTAAAACGTGAGATATTGCCTACAATTTACAACATGCAGTGCAACACTTGAGGAAGCATGTGCTGAAATTGCCTTAATTATCTAGGAGTCAGGTGTATAAAGCAAGGGGAATATCTTTCTGTGGTGATGCTGCCAATGCAATACTCCACTCAGCAATGTCAAGACCTTTTCTTTTCATGGACAATAGGTCAGTAAATCTCTGAAGAATGCAATGAGGAGTGTCTTTGATAGTATTTGCCAACACTTCTAAAATTACTAGAGGAGTAGACTCAGAGGTTCTACACACAGTGCCCAGGAAAAGAACTGTTCTTCCTTTGCACATACAAGGTTAAAGAGTGGTGTGTGGTGGTTTGAAGTACCTCAGAAAATAATTAAAGAAAGAGTAATGAAGATCCAAGTGCAAGTAAACATGTAAAAGGGTAAATTCTTGTACTTTCCTATTGGAATTAAAACTTGGGAGACTTCAGAGTCAACTGTGAAGCAAGACACCCTTTCTATCCTAGCTTCTGCCTTCCCACTGCTCTTGAGGTCGTGGGAGCCATTAATTAAATTCTCTCCTTACCTTTCTCTTAAATCTCGCAGTTTATTTCACTGTCATCCTCTTGTCCGCTCGTTCTAACCCAAATCTGCCCCTGCTCAGAAACACTCACTAATTCCAAACACCCCCATAACATACGTGCTGACAGTGGGCAAACCTGAGACTGAAATAAGTATTTTACACCTCACAGTGACCCTTCAAGGTCTTGAGTCAGCATCCCTCCATCACAATCTACGCTCTACAGGCTGTCCAAGGTGTAGAACTACTATCATTTACTTTTCATATATATAAAAGTTACGCAAGTGGAAAAACGTACAGCCTCACAACTTTCAAGACAGAAATTCACATCTCTTGAGAACAGGAGTAAAAAAAGTCACACAAACTCTTTAGACAGAGGGTGATCTCCTTTCATGTCCATTCAAGGCCATTTTGATTTGAGCACTGAATTTCATTGGGCGCAACTCAAAATTGCACTAATGAGGTTTCATTAATTCATTTAATTGACTGTAGTTTCTGAGCTTCCGTATTCAAAGGCCTACAGATACCCTATTTCATTTAAGTAAACACCCAGGAGTAACTGATTTGCCTTCAGTTTACTTCCCATAATTCCTGAGATCCCAGCACATAGAACTTTACTTAATCTGACACATTCCTTACAGACATCTGGATATTAAATACTATCCTGGAGGGCAATGAAATACTGAGACACTGTTGTCTTATCTTGTTAAGCAGCCATTTACTTGTAAAAGTTACTGTGGGTGGGACTATAATATGGGAGGGGAAAGGAAAGGCAGTTTAACCTCTGTATAAGGACCAACAGATCTTACTGATGCCTCCTCTTGAAAATCTGAAGTAAGGGTTGTTGCTGTGTATTACATAGTGCAGAAACACTGGGAGTATACATCAAATGTGGTGTCAATGCTGTGATGCAATGTGAACAGGAGATACCTCATCCCATGTTGCATTATGGGACTGCTGAAATAAAATGCTGGGAGAGAAAGGTGGAAAAAACAGAGAAATTAGAGAAAGTTGGAAAGCAATACAATTCCAGGAACTAAAGTCTTCTGATACTGGTGTAAGAGTCAAGTCAAATTATATATAGAGGTACATTCCCCGCTACCCATTAGATACAATCAAAAAGCATCACCTACCATTCTTTACAGAATAATATGTTGATAGACTTCTGGTTCGGGAGGGCAGAGGTCTGACTGCTTTGACACTTACTGCTCCTGACCCTGTTTGGCCTTGCAGAATTCATCCCAGCCTCTCCTTTGAGGCAATCACAGAGCAGAAAACACAGAATCTCTGAAATGATACTCAAATGCCAAAGCCATCAGCCTCTTAGACAATGTGGAGACAGCTTACAGTCATTCCAAGTTCAAAATCTGAAGGTTAGATGCTTAGTGTGTTCCCCTATGCTCATGGTTCAGAAATACGTCTCAGACATCTTTAAATTTCCTTTTCTTACCACCAGTTTGTACATGTCTTCTGCATGTGGAATGTTTAAAATAGCATGAGAAAATAAAAAAAAAACAAAACTAATGCCTTGCAGGTAAACGCAAGGTTGTGCTCTTGGACAATTAGGGATACCTCCAGCTCAACCTGCGTCACATCTTTTTCTGGAATCTGATGCATCCTCTCCCCTGGGTTTGGTATGCTCAAGGTGCAGGGAGGGCACTGAGGCACCAGTGAAGATTTTTTTCTTAAAACTAATATACTGCTTGCTAAGTCAATCCATCTCCAGAGGGACACAGCTACCAGTCAGTCTTCTAAAACTCCATGGATTAGCAACAGATGTTTTCTCAGTTGTACAGTGGAAAACATTTTTTTCTTCTTCTGAAGGAAGTAGCATATTTCTCTGGACTTGGTAGAGTCTGCAATGGTTTGGGTATGGTCTTCATCCACAATAGGTTTGGTAACAACACATACAATATAAGACAACAGTCCTGCCTTCAGTTATTTAAGAGAAACCTGATTCCATTCCTGAGACAATAAAACTCGGGCCAAAGGAAGTTCAGTTGACTTCTTCTTTCTCTGAAAAACAGACCACACAATTGTGGTGGATGAAAGAGTAGCCAAAAAATTAAGAGATCGTTTTCAGACAAATATAATTTTTTTCAAAATACAGTATTTTTTCCCAGTTCTTCCACTCTTGTGATATGAACTACTGCATATGCTTCATGAAATTACCATCTACTGCTCAGTTGTTTATTTTTGTAATCACTGGATTTAATTTCATTTGTTTGCCTTTTGACCTTGTTTTGATTATAGAGAGTTTTAATGATCAAGGGATCTCTAGATTAAAGTCTATTTAATACAATATGCTTTCCATATAAAATTGGAGGAATTTCACTGACAGTATTGACATGCTGATTTATCCCCACAATCGGGCAAATACTGAAGTTACCAAGGGATTTTGATTTCTCTGCTTCCTTTCCTTGTGATACTAGTTTTGGTGTTTTGCCTTTTTTTTTTTTTAATCAAATAATTTTGTTAGATTCATTTAAATGTTGAAACCCAATCTTGTAGTTTATTTTAGATTTTTAAAATCTACCAACTTGGATTTTTCCGGTAACTTCATAGCTGAGTCAGGTTTGTTGATCCCCGTAGCTGCTTTTTCTTAAACAATCTGCTGAATTATACAATACTCATTTGAGCAAGTTGTTAGAATTGAAATGCCACTAAGTATATTTTATTTCTGAAACACCCTGGTATTCTAAATCACTCAATGATTTGAAAGTCAATGGAATGCAGCTCAGGAGAAATGGGAGAACTAGACTTACTGTTAATTTGATATTTGGAAGTAACATATCATTCCGCATGTGGATGCTGAAAAAGCTGCCAAAACCCGGCTTTGCTAAAATATTATAATTACTGGTTCCTCTACTCCCAAATACAACATTGTTTGATGAAAACAATATATTCTTCAGTCCCTTCACTACACCATCTATTGTTTTATACCAGTTATTTATAAAGGGAAATGACTGACTTATTAGAATGGAATAGTTGTGTCAGTATTTGATTAACTTCTTCTCCCTCTGCATTATCAGTCTTGATTTAAACAGTGGGTCAGTGTGTTCTGATTTTCTCATGTTTTAACAAGTCAACTTCTTTTGCTTTTGCCTTTTCTTTACCAAACTGGACCTCACTTTTTTTTCCCCTGTAAGAACCTCTATATATGTTATGCTAGTGTGCTCCAAAATTGACCCTTGTCCCTTTTGGCACACTGAGAGGAGCCATGGGCTAGTTGGGGTCTGAGGCATGTCCAGGTGCAGATGTCTATGTCCAGACAGAGTGTCTTGGTTGGGAGTGCAATGGGTCACTTCCCTCATGAAGAGCCTTGGTGCTCACTGACAGCACTATGTGAAATGAGGTCCTGCCCAAGATGAAAATTGGTTCCAGCTGATGTCTGCAAGAGTTTAGTAAAGATAGATAAAGGTAGATATTCTCTTTCTCCAACTACTATAAAAATAACAGTGAGCAAAATGTAGATAACACAAAATGTCAGGCAGCCTACCAAGTGGTGCAACCTAGCTAACCCTTGGTGCCTGTGCTGTTGGGTGGAGAGCACTGTGCTGTGTCACGGGACACGGCTCTCTGAATTCAGTTTTACTGTTACACATACGAGACTTTCTCAGGCAAGACTGTTGACTCTCTTCCCTGTACCTCAACTGCAGTTCTTTCTCAGAAGATCTTGCTTGCTCCTGAATAGCAGGTGTCCAAGGATATGATTTCTGTCTGTGATCAGTGCTATCTGCCAGAGAAGCAAGATCATGCTGACAACAACAGCAGGGCTCAGGATGTGCCCTTCCAGCCCTGTGTGCCAGAGCTGCCTTCTGCTGCACTTCTCCCTCCCAGCAGTTCTGGCCATCGTGGTCTCTCTGAAACCAGACAAGGCATTGACTCAGCCAGTTGGATTATACATAAACTGGTTTAGATTGACGACCTTCACGGTTTTGCCACATACTCCAGACTATTTCTGGGTTCAGCTGCAACACAGTGCTTGGAAGCTGAAGGAACTCAAGCTTTGTGTGTTCTCGGTGAAGGACTTGACAGGGCATGGCTTATAACAGCAATATATTGTTCTTGCTTGGCTTTAAGTCTTAGTGCTGCGCTTAGGGAAATATCTGACACCCTGAATGAACCTTGTGAGGAAGGACAATAGCCCTCAGACATCTGACTGCAGTTTTCAGTGGTGGTCACTGCATGGAGCAGACCACTCTCCAGTTTGGACACACCTGTTGTGAGAGCACTCTGCTGGTAGTATGTGTAGTGGCATTAGTAAGTCTGCTGGACATTTGGTGTGGGGTTGACTCAGAACTGCTCCCTCTTTAATAATATCGATTTTCCTGCCTCCTGCCACAAATTTCTTCCCAGAATTCACTATTATAAGAAAGCTGTCCATTCTCTGCTAGTCAGGGCAAGCATGTTAGTGACAGCCCACATATACTGAAATCTGTCTGCATGCTGGGCTGTCGAAACTTCTCCTCCAAGTGTGTTACTTTCATTATGTAGCATTTCAGATTAGTGTAACTGTTTGTTCAACTTCTTTGTAGCATATCTAGTTATTTCCAAAGCTGCTTGGAGCCTTTTGTCATGCTATGTTACTATTTTTCCTCATCTGTTCAGGCTTAAGCATTCTGTATATGATAAAAAATTGTTTTATTTTCCTGTAAAACACCTTGGATACTGAATACAACCCATATGGCAGTTTGAGGAAACAGCATCTCCCAAAGAGGGTGTTGAATGTGCTCAAATGTGTTCTTTTTTTTTACCAGGGGCATCTGCCAGAATCCTGCTGACACATCAAGTGTAAAAAAATATTTGGCATCAGTCATCTCCTCCAAAATTTCCTTGTAGATACTGGAAAATATTCTCTTTTATGCATTTATTTAATTCTGCATGATATTTCCTGGTCCTCATGACCACATCTATATGGAAAAGTAAACGTGCCATGGCATGCTCTCTAGTACTGAGTCCAACTAGTCCACCCTAGGAAATTTGCTGTCCCTCAAAACAGTGACAAGTTGGTAGGGATGGGCCTTGGAATGATTTAATCTGCTTACAGAAACATAATTTGAAAGAACTAAATCAGAAGTCAGATTGGAATCTATCTAGCTGCCTTATAGGAAGAGGGAGGTGGCAAGAGCAAGAAGTAGCGGGGTAATTGCAGGAAGAGAAAGAGGAGAATGAGAAAGATATTCAGGTCATCCTCTCCTCCCTGAGGGTGGGGTCATCCGGGGCAGCCTAGATCACCATGATCATGCTTCTGCTGCATGCTCACAGGGGGCTGGCCTGCTCTGCTGAGTGAACACTCCTCTCTGCTCTTCACCATGTCAGTCTGCAGTGCCCCAGAGCAGAGCACAGAGAACTGTGGAGTGTTCGGGTATCCTGAAGCTGAAGCTGGTGTCACAGAGGAAATATTTTCCATGCAAACAAAGATCACTTCTGTCCATTTTTGCCTGCCCTGTGGGGCTATGTGCTGGCTGGGTCTGCACTATTGCCTGTTCAATACTGTGACACAGACTGGGCTGGGTTCTGGCAGTTTTGGGGAGGAGGAGGAAGGAAATATGACCAAACAGGCTGTTACAAGGGCCTTGCACAGTAGCTGCCAAAGGAGGCAGTGTTTGCAGAGCAGATGCAGTCTCTCAGACTCATCCCTGAGTGGATGGATGCTGGGCAGAGTTTGGTTCCCTGGCTGGGAATGATACTGGATTGTCAGTGCTGGGGCTAGTGCAGGGTGAAGGTCAGGGAGGGGTTTCTGTGAGTGCCTGCCATGGCAGTGCCTAGTGTGACCCACAAGGTTGCCGTGTGGGGTGACCATCACTGACCACAGCACTGCCTGGGACTTTGGGGTGTACAGTGACCTTAGAGAGGGTGGGATGCTCTTGAGTTTGCCAGCTGTTCCTGGTGGACTTCCCTGATGAAACCCAAGGGGTCATCAAAGAGTTGGGCAGCAGGTAACATCAGGTCTACATAGTGACAGTACAGGGACAATATAGGACATAGATCATCTGGGCAATGAGCCTATCCAACTTCACATTAGTCCTTGTGTTTATTTATAGCTATGGGAACTTAGGGTCTGTCTTATGATACTTTTTCATCCCTATTTTATGACATTACGTCCTAGAAGTTTTCCTTGATTTCCTCAGTATTTTGTCCCCTGGTCTCTTGGTGATACCAAGAATTTGACATATTTTTATGCCAATGAAAGTTTCCGCAAAACATAACATACTGCATTTAGATTTGATAAATTGTTTTAGTTGAAAAAAGTCAAGGGTTCTGTTAATCACTCTGAATGCAACATTTTGCTGTTTTGTTTTGGTTTATTTTATTTTTAAAATGTATTCAAACCCAAAGTGCAATCAAAGCAATTCATGTTAAAACAGCATTTGTTTTCAAGTAGAAGGTTTGATCTAAAACATTTGCTATGGTTTTTTTAAAAGTAACCTTGAATGCTTTATGCAAGACTGACTAGAATGTGAATAGGCATGGATTTAAACATTAACTTGTTTCATTTTTTTCTCTTTTGTACCTCTTCTTGTTTAAATGCCTCTATACAGATATTTGTACATATTTTTGGCAATCACCAAATAATGTAAAACTACACAACTGAATTATATTTGTTATTTTAAACTGGCTATTTCTAGCAGTAATAATTTAAGAGTTAATAGTAGCTATTATATCTAGCTATGTAATTATTTGATATAGCCCTGAATGATGATATTCTGCACTTACATCTGAAAAAAATGTGGCTGAAAAAAATGTAGTTCATGAAGGAATATGCACCAAGCCTGTGGCACACAAGAACCTGAATTCTTACCTAAGACAAGACACTGAAGTCCTCTTTGCCCTGCAGATTAGGTTTTCCAACTTCTAAAAATGTTGTGGTGTCAGATGTCTGCACTCTCTGAGGGGTGAGAGGAGGAGACTCTTCCTAAGAGCACTGCACTAGTCCCAAACTGGGGAGACTAGTTTGTGCCAAGCACTGGAGTGTCCCTCCACCATGGCCCCCCTCAAGGCTGCCCATGTGCTTTGCAGAGCAGGTTCCTGGAGGACAACACATAGTTCCTCAGGACAGCCCCCCTTCTGCGGAGGTGTTTTAAGATGCATATGCTGTGCTAACCCTGGGAGTGGGAGCAGCAGCTTTGAGTGACCTGATGCTAATAGGACTAGGATGCACTGCCCAGTGTACTGGGCTGGGTCAGCACCAGGGCTTCCACATCTGAACCACACTCCAACACAGGATGATGACACGCCCTGTCCCTTGCTCCTTTCCTTATGCCACACTTCTATTTCCTGAGCATGTTACTCATGAGGAGACATCATCTTTTTCTGAACATATTCAGAATTTGAAGCACTTTCAGCTTGGATGGGTAAATGCATGAAGACCAAAAATTTCACATTGAAATCCTTATTGGATTTTACCTAGTAAATCACAGATAATAGATCAAATACTGAGCAACTATCAGTACCATCAGCTTTCCTTGACCTGGGGTAATGTGAGACAGGAATTTAATCTTCCTCTGCATATACGAGTTCCTCTTCAGCCCCATTATCTCTATTGTTGGGCTGGCAGCAGACTGTTAAACTGCCACATGGTCTTCAGGTCTCCACCTGAGTGTCTTGTGTAGCTGACAGCATTCACTGACTCTCTCTCCATAACATTCAGCAACACACTCAACTCTTCTGCTTTTCTAGGCCCTAGTTCCTTTGAAGATTTAGTGTCCTCTTTGATTCTGGCCTCAGACTTGGAAAAGTGAATGCTGCCAATCTACTTGGAGCCTACTGGGTATTTTACAATTAATAGCACCCCTATTGTTTCCTCAAAGACCACTTGGTATTTTCAGCTTGAACTTATCTTGCCATTGTTTCATTTCCTCTTTGTTTCCCCTGAAAGGCTGTTTTGATTTAACTCTATGTGGTCATTCATGACACAGATTAAACTGAATTGTGCGTAACATTTGAAAAGCGCATGAATAACTGTCTTTATGTGGTTGCAGATTGCACACTGATATTTGGTTTGCATATTGTTCTCTCTGAATTACCATCAGATCTGCACCTGTGGTCTTGTTCTAGCTGGAAGTAGTTGCACCTCAAAGTGCCTAGCAGCAATCAAAACACTGAGTTAGTCAGTGCTTGGGCTGGTGGCTTTCTTCTAGTGCTTTTTCTCGAAGAAAAATTGGCTTTGGTCTAAATATTTTCTGGGAACGTCTCCTTTCTGCAGAGACTTTTATTGAAGTTTATTTTTTTCCCAGTTTTCACCACCATTACTGCTCACTTTCCAGCCAATATTAATCACCCCAACAAAAAATATCAACCTCAGCTCTTGAAAGCATACCCCCCTAGGTGTCTTCTTTATGAGCTACGAAAGTCTGCATGAGGTTGCCCAAACATATGTTTGTGTATTTAACATCTCTCAAAACCTGGCAGATGTTACTGGCTCTATCATGTTACAGTGCAGAATTTTCAGGTATAATTCCTATGTCTGGAAAACTCTCCCCTACACAAAGTGTGGGCTTGTAGCGGTCTGATCCTTTGCTTGCACAGTCGAGTGCTAATCTCTTGGCCCATGTCCACGAAGCTGACCAAATCACGGAGCCCTTTCTCAGAGAGATATTTATTCTGTTTGTTTAGTGAGGGATAATTAAGAGGTTTTGGATTCCCACTAGCCATTTGAGTGAAGGGATGGGACTGCAGGAAACAAGGATGAGTAACACTGGAATCAGAAGTCCTTGGAAAGAGAAGTCCTCTTTTGCTTTGACATTGTTTTGGTTGCTTATCACTTCTTGATGTACAAAAATTGGCTTACCAGATATGATGCTAATAAAGGGCCACAGTTTTTTATGCCTTTAGCTCCCCTGGCTTTTCCTGAGCTTCCACCAGGGACTAATTTGGCCCAAAGCATCCACTCACAACTTCTATGGTTGCGGGGGTAGGCAGGCTTTCTGGCATGTGCTGTGCCGAGTCATTACAAATTCGGTCTCTGGGACACAGCTGTGCTGAGGCTGCTGCTCTCTCTCACAGACACTTCACGTAGCCTCAGGCTGCTGACACTGCTCACCTCCTTGTTGCATTTCCACCTTGGTTTCCCTTGCTGGGCCAAAACACTACAGTTATTGCTCTGCTTTTCTCCCTGCCCTTCTTTGCCATCGGCAGCATGGACTGGGGGGCTCCTGCACCCGGCTGCCCTTGTGCCCTCACGCAGGTGGTCCTGCATCCTGCTATGTCAATGGGCAGCTTGGATTTGAGGGGATGCTGGAGGTTGCTCCTTATGGAGCAGATGATGGAGTTCAAAGTAGCACTGAGTGTCTGATTAACACTTCTAGGGTCTCAGGTCTTCCTTTAATGGTGATAAATATATGAGGGAGAACAACATTCTGGTTTCATGTCTCCAGTTTCTGAGGCACTCCTTTTCTAATATAATTATTTTTAATCCGATAATCCAGATAAAAAAAAGATCTGATGGTTGTGACTAGAAATAAAACAGATTTTGAGAAATTTATTCCCAATGCTGTCAGTTCCATATTTAAAAAGACAAAAGCACCCAAAGACCCCAAAACAAAAATATTTACTCCTATAGTAAAATTCAGTAACTCTTTGTGAACCCTTCCAGATTCCATCAAACTTATTTTCCATTGGGGAAGAAAGGGGAAGGAGATGATGGGGGAAAGGTATGGCACTACAGACATTGATCCTGCATTCAGAATTGGGGATAGAAGGGAATTAAAATGCAGTAAGTTCCAAATTTCCTTGGTCTGGGGGTTTTCTTTATCTAAACCAAAATTCTTGCCAATTTTTAAAATTTTGCAAGTTCTCAATTTTATCTTCTTTTATAACTTTTCCATCATTAAGCCAAATTGTTGATGGTAGAAGAGAAATTGCAGTGTTTTCCCCAGATTTGCTCAGATGCATAGGTACCTGGAATTCAGTTCTGAACAGCCACAACAACATCATTTTGACTAAACTATGACTTGTGATCCTCCAGGAGCAGTGGCTTCTAGTCACCTCTGTATATTTCCAAGTGAATTAAAGAAAACAGAATTTACTCTTTTGCTCTCTGCAGAGGTTATAGAAGAAAAGGGGGTGGCAGTTTGTGAAGATCTCCACTCCTTTCCAGTGCAGCCCTAGAGAAAGGTGGGAGATTTCCTTCCACCAAGCCTTGTGTATGCCACCCTACTTGTCCCCAGTCTCAGTCACTGAGCAGTGGTGTCCTTCATGGAGGCTGGACATTATTAAACCTTCTGTGGGGTCAGTAGCCTTCACTACAAAGATCTTTTTCTAGATCTGAGTCTGGGTTTAAAATTCCATACCAGCTGCCACCACTAGTACTCTCACTTGGTCTTTTTGC